CTGGGCCATTAGTAGTCCTGCCTGAATTGGATTGTTATAGTTGCTACTGACTTTCATCACAGGGCACAGCAGTACTAAGAAATACCCTAAGGGATTACATGTGTTCCAGATACTTTCTTCTTTATTTCCATTGTGGGGTAGCAGTCCAATTTCCCCTGACTAGTCAGCATCAGTCACCCCAGCCAGCACAGTAACTCCCTTCTTTGCCTTTTGATTCAGAGACATGAGGAGCCCAAAATGTCCATGTGACAGACTTAACAGAGAGAGACAGCCAGAGAGAGAACACAAGCAGGCGGAGCAGGAGAATCAGTAGAATCACTACTGTGTCTCCTGGCGGAAGCGTTCCTCCCTTTGGAACTAAGACAGAGAACAGCAGAGCATAGGGAGCACAGGAACAGGAAGCAAATATTTTGCTAGTGGACCGGTGGAGGTAGTAGTGAATGGTGCCACTCCTGCCCCGGGCCAACAGGGTGGGGCCACCACCCTGGGTAGGCTTGGAGGACAGAACATTGAGCCAATAAGAATTACTGTCAGGACGCCTGGGTGGCTCAGTAGGTTGAGCCATTGCCTTCGGCTCAGGTCATGATCCCAGAGTCCAGGGATCGAGTCCCACATCAGGCTCCCTACTCGGGGGGAGCCTGCTTCTCCCTCTGCCTGCCATTCCCCCTGCTTGCGTGCTCTCTCTCTCTCTGACAAATAAATAAAATCTTAAAAAAAAAAAAGAATTACTCTCAAGCCTTAAAATCTAGTGGGCTTTGTCTTGCTAGTTTTTGGACCTTCTTGGGATCTGTGATCCCTTTTTTCATTCCAGTGTCTCCCTTTGGAATGGGAATGTATGTCCTGTGCCTGTCCTACCATTGCATTTTGGAAGCTGATGACTTGTCTGCTTTCACAGGTTTGTGTGGAGAGAAGCTGCCCTGAGATGACTCATACTCACATTACACCCATAACCAATTTGGGTGATTTAGATGATAAGATTGAAGACTTTGAGTTGATGTTTAGATAGATTTTGAATTTAAGACTTGATGCTGGAATGATTAAGACTTTTGGGGATATTGGGATGGGGTTAGTATATTTTGCACACGGGAAGGACATGAATTTGGTGGGGGGGGTGTCAGAGGGCAGATTTTTTAATGGGTTGAATTGTGTGTCCCCCTGAAAAAAAATACGTGGAAATCTGAACCCCCAGTATCCCAGAATGTGACCTTATTTGGACATAGTGTCTTTATAGAGGTAATCAAGTTAAAATGAGTTCATTGGAGTGGGTCCTAATCTAATATGACTGGTGTCCTTATAAAAAAAGGGAAATTGGGGCATAGAAATAGACACATATATGGGCCTGGGTGGCTGAGTCAGTTAAGTGTCTGCCTTCGGCTCAGGTCATAATCCCAGGGTCCTGGGATCGAGTCCTGCCTCGGGCTCCCTGGTCAGCGGGGAGCCTTCTCTCCTTTTCCCTCTCTCCCCAGCTTGTGCTCTCTCTCTCTCTCTCTCTCAAATAAATAAATAAATAAAATCTTTTTAAGAAAGAAAAGAAATAGACACATATAAAGGGAAGATGATGTGAAGACACATAGGGAGAAGATGACCATGTGATTGGAGTGATGCATTTACAAGCTAAAGAAACATCAAAGAGGGGCGCCTGGGTAGCTCAGATGGTTAAGCATCTGCCTTCGGCTCAGGTCATGATCCCGCAGTCCTGGGATCAAGCCCCGCATCGGGCTCCCTGCTCTGCAGGAAGCCTGCTTCTCCCTCTCCTGCTCCGCCTGCTTGTGTTCTCTCTCTGGCTGTCTCTCTCTCTGTCAAATGAATAAAATCTTTAAAAAAAAAAAATCAAAGATTGCCAGCAAACAAGCTAGAAGACTCAAGGAAGGATTCTCCCTTATATCTGCCAGAGAGAGCGTGGCCCTGCTAACACTTTGATTTCAGACTTGAGGCTCCAGAAGCATGAGACAATGACTTTTTCCTGTTTTGAGCCACCTAGGTTTTGGTACTTTGTTACAGCCGCCCTAGGAAACAAACACAGAGCCTCTATGAGAGTATTTCCATTCTCAGCTGCTGAGTACTCTGAGCCATCTCAAGTGTGTGCTGGTGGCGTCCTTGATTGGCCTGAGATCCTTCAGTCCGTTAACCTCTGTGATTATTACTCTTTTCCCAATGAAATGTGGTTACTTTAAAAAAAAAAAAGTGGAAAGCAATTAGCTGGACCCAATTCTATCATGTCCTATTAACAGGGTATGAAGTTCCCAAACCAGAGGTCATCTTCAAGTTGGAACAAGGAGAGGAGCCATGGATTTTGGAGAGAAAAACCCCACATCAAAGCTGTTCAGGTGAGTGAGTGCAACCTAGGCAGATGGGGGGCATGAAAACACTTTTCATTTCCTAAGAAGCCTATGCCTTTAAAATGCTATTTATTGCTACCTTCTTGGAGGATCTCAACTTTGGAAACTGCTTGAGAAGAGATAACATTGGCCTCTTAGGTACGAGACTATTCTCTCCCTTTATTTCCCTTAGTGTGATCAACTGTCTTTTTGCCTGGCTTTCCTTTGGGAGAATTGCTGCAATTCCTACACTCAGAATCACATGCCAGGCTTCCTCCCTATAGATCTTGCTTCTTTGGATGTTTTCTCCTACTATCACATTTCTATCCTTCATTCCTTAATCCCCACCCCCAGGGTCAGAGATTCTTAAAATATATACAGTCAGGTTTTAATGGGTTTGCCTTCTTTGAAAACCAGTGGGTTGCCCCACTCCCATTCTTCTGAGGACCTTCTCGCTTTCTTCCTCATTTTCTTCTTAACTCTAAGATAACCAGTAAACTCATCTACGACCAGCCTCACCTCCTCTTCTCTCTTCAGATTCCTCACTCCTCTCCATCTCCCCTGCTGCCATGCCTCCCATCTTCTGACCTTGGGATCACTGTCACTTAGCATTTTTGTCTTTTAAATAAATCAACTGTGTTCAAGTATAATTTACATACAGTAAAATGTATCCATTTGAAGTGCCCCGTTTGATGAAAGCCCACACTGGTGTGATCACCACCCCAATCATGATACGGGGAACATTCTGTCTCACAAAAATGAGTCTCCATGCCCCTTGTAGTCCGTGGGCACCACCGCTTCGGCCCCGGGCAAACTACAGACAGGCTTTCTGTCACCATAGATTAGATTTGTCTTTATTAGGGTTTCATGAGTGGAATCCTACTATCTACGCCCTTTTGGGTGTGGCTTCATTTGTTCAGTATCATGATTCTGTGCTTCATCCATGTTCCTGAGTATATTGCTAGTTTATTCCTTTTAAATGCTGAAGACTATTCTATGATATGAATAGATTGCAATTTGTTTATCCAAATACCTGTTGATGACAGGTGGTTGTTATTTGGTTATTGTGAGTACAGCTGTAGTGAACATTCTGGCATGTCTTTGTGTGACCATATGTTTACATTTCCCTTGGGTAAATACCTAGGAGTGGAGTTGGTGGGTCATCTGATTGTATAAGTAAGCGTATACTTGCCTAAGAAATTGCCAAACTATCTTCCAAAGTGGCTGTGTGATTTTACACTTCCAGCAGCAATACATGAGAATTTCTGTCGCTCCACATCCTTGCCAACACCTATTACCATCATTTCTTTAATTTTTGCTATTATAGTAGATGTGTAATGGTATCTCACTATGATTTTAAGTTGCACTCCTTTGACGAGTAATGATCAATATCGTTTCGTGTGCTTATTGACCATTTGTACATTTTTTTAAAATTTTTTTAATGTTATGTTAATCACCATCCATTACATCATTAGTTTTGGATGTAGTGTTCCATGATTCATTGTTTGTGCATAACACCCAGTGCTCCATGCAGAACATGCCCTCTTTAATACCCATCACCAGGCTAACCCATTCCCCCACCCCCCTCCCCTCTAGAACCCTCAGTTTGTTTCTCAGAGACCGTCTCTCATGGTTCGTCTCCCCCCTGATTTCCCCCCCTTCATTCTTCCCCTCCTGCTATCTTCTTCTTCTTTTTTTTCTTAACGTATATTGTTATTTGTTTCAGAGGTACAGATCTGTGATTCAACAGTCTTGCACAATTCACAGCACTCGCCATAGCACATACCCGCCCCAATGTCTATCACCCAGCCACCCTGTCCCTCCCACCCCCCCACCACTCTAGCAACCCTCAGCTTGTTTCCTGAGATTAAGAATTCCTCATATCAGTGAGGTCATATGATACATGTCTTTCTCTGATTGACTTGTTTCACTCAGCATAACACCCTCCAGTTCCATCCACGTCGTTGCAAATGGCAAGATCTCATTCCTTTTGATGGCTGCATAATATTCCATTGTGTATATATACCACATCTTCTTTATCCATTCATCTGTCGATGTACATCTTGGCTCTTTCCACAGTTTGGCTATTGTGGACATTGCTGCTGTAAACATCGGGGTGCACGTACCCCTTCAGATCCCTACATTTGTATCTTTGTGGTAAATACCCAGTAGTGCAATTGCTGGATCGTGACCATTTGTACATTTTTGTTTGAAGCATCTATTCAGATATCTTTCCCGTTTTTTAAATTGGGTTGTTTGTTTTCTTAATGAGTTTTCAGAGTTGTTTATATTTGCTGGATATATGCTAGATATATACATTGCCAATATTCTGTTCCAGCTTTCACTTTTTTCTTCTTACTGGTGCCTATCAGAGAGCAAACATTTTGATTTTGTTGGAGTCTAACTTACCATCTTTTAAAACTTTCTGGTGCTTTCTGTGATCTGTTTAAGAAATCTTTGCCTGCCACAAGGTCACAAAGATTTTCCCATACTTTGTACCATAAGTTTTAGCATTTTAGCTTTCTCAGTTTAGACCTACAATCCATTTTATATGTTTGATGTAAGAACTGATCTTCATTTTTATCAGTACAATATCTACTTGTTCCAGAACCATTTGCTGAAGAGACTTTTTTTCCCCATTGCATTTCCTAGTTGTGTTTATCAAAATCAATTGACTTTATTTTTTTTAAGCTTTTTTTTTTAAAGATTTTATTTATTTATCAGAGACAGCACGAGAGCATGAGCACAAGTAGGGGCAGAGGCAGAGGGAGAGGGAGAGGGAGAAGCAGACTCCCCACTGAACAGGGGTAGCCTGATGCTAGGTAGATCCCAGGACCCTCAGATCATGACCTGAGCCGAACGCAGATGCTCAACAACTGAGCCACCCAGGCACCCCAACCAATTGACTTTATATATCTGAACCTGTTTCTGGACTCTTTATTTTGCTCAGTTGATCTATATGTCTTTCTGTTTTAAGGTTTTTCTGTTTCTTAGGTTTTAAGGAGGGCATGTATTGCATGGAGCACTGGGTGTTATATGCAAACAGTGAATCATGGAACACTACATCAGAAACTAATGATGTACTACTGTATGGTGTCTAACATAACAATAAAAAAATAAAAAATAAAATAAAATGTTGGTTTTAATATTATTCAGGCATGCTGAGACCAACAGATCCAGAGATGACTGCCATTAAAAAGATAATTTGTGGGGCACCTGGGTGGCTCAGTCATTAAGTGTCTGCCTTCAGCTCAGGTCATGGTCCCAGGGTCCTGGGATCAAACCCCGCATTGGGCTCCCTGCTCTGCCAGAAGCCTGCTTCTCCCTCTCCCACTCTCCCCCTGCTTGTGTTCCCTCTCTAGCTGTCTCTCTCTCTGTCAAATAAATAAAATCTTTTAAAAAAACAAATAAAATAGAATAAAATAAAAAGATAGTTTGTAATACACAGTCCCCAAGAGGAGGAGACATGCCATACCATGCAAGGCCACACCAGGAAGCACCAGGGTCAGTCAGGAGGCCAAAGTTTTAGGGAAAAGCATGGATAAGAGCCTTTATTGTCATTTTCATGGGGAAGAATGGGTGAAACAGAGTAAGCAGGCTGGGGAGGTTTAGGATTGGCTAGTTTTGAGTAATTTCAGTGGGGCTCCAGGGGTGTAGGGACTGTCTCTAGTTACCTGGTACCTGGCACTGAGGTGATCAGAGCAGGAGGATATCGCTCGACCTTAACAAAGGAGGAGAGAACGTGGGCTCTGGGTTGGTTGGTTTGCATATGAAAGGTGTGCTTACGGGGAACTCATCTGCCATCTCTAGGAAATAACTAGTACTGAGAGAGGCAGTCTCTCCAGGATGAGGAAGGCACCAGATGATCTGAGCATCAACAATACAGAAAATAAGATAAGGAAGATGTGATATATATAAAATGGCATATTATTCAGCCATAAAAAAAAGCCAAAACCTTGCCATTGGCAACAACATGGATGGAACTAGAGAGTATTATGCTAAGGGAAGTACGTCAGTCAGAGAAAGATACCTCATGATTTTACTCATGTGTGGAATTTAAGAAACAAATGAACAAATGGAAAAAAGAGAGAGAGACAAAACAAGAAACAGACTTTTAACTATAGAGAACAAACTAATGGTTGCCAGAAGGGAGGTGGGGGGATGAGTGAAATAGGTGATGGGAGTTAAGAGCACACTTATCATGATGAGCACTGAATAACATATAGAATTGTGGAATCACTATATCCTACCCCTGAAATGACTATAACACTGTACGTTAACTATACTGGAATTAAAATTAAAAACTTTAAAAAATACGGAAAATATAGTTAATATACTGTCCTTTTGGCAAACCGACATTTTCTTTATTACTGTAGCTTCTGTAATGAGTCTTGAAATCAGGTGGGGTAAGTTCTCCAACTTTGCCTTTTTTTAAAATTACTTTGGCTCTTCTAGGTCATTTGCATTTCTATATAAAATTTATAAGCAGTTTGCACTTTTTTTGAAAAAGCCTGCTGGGGTTTTGTTTGGAGTTGAGTTCACTCTATAGATCAATGTCAGGAGAATTGATATCTTCACAATATTGGGCCTTCTAATCCACGAGCATGGCATATTTTCTGTATTTATTTAGATGTTTGATTTCTTTCAGCTTCAGTGTAGAAGTCTTCTGCATCCTTCATTAAATTTATCCCTAAATATTTGACACTCTTTGACAGTATTGTAAATGACATTGTTTTTTAAAATTTATTTCAGATTATTCATTGCTAGTATAAATTGCTCGTGATTGATTTTTGTACATTGACTTTGTATCCTGAGGCATTCATACATCCACCTATTAGTTTTCTTGTAGGTTCTTTGAGGTTTTTCATGTAAGTAATCATTATCACTTTAAAGACACTTTTTCCTTTCCAATTTCATGCTTTTTATTTCTTTTCCTTTTCTTACTTCACTAATACCTTCAGTGTGATGTTGAATAGAAGTGATGAGTGTGGGCATGCTTGCCTTGTTCC